GGCTATGAACATGATATTCAATAAATATAGGTAACACACAAAACGTTAAAAAAAGCTTCTTTTTGGGCGTAATATAAAATCTGAGTGCTTCTAGATTTTATTTTATCTTTTTTTTTTCCCTTCATTACACTCAGAAAATTTTATGCTCTGAATTTTATAAATTACTAATATAAATAATCCACTTTAATATTAATAATTTAATGATGATATAATCACATAAATGATCGTAACAATATTTAAAAACGAATAATTTAAAAACGAATTCGTAACAATATTTAAAAACGAATTTTTGAAAGTTTTGTTTAAAATTCTAAATTGTGCTGCTTTATTAAAATTATAGATGAGTAATGTAGCACAATTTCTGTAATGGAACTTTATTTCAATCATATTTCATAATACATAATAGTGATAAACAGTTTTGACTCCTTAATTTTTATACATTTAATTCTAATATTAAAATTGTATTTAACCGTAATAATTAATTTTGCTTGTATTTTATAGTGATTACTTTTTTAATTTATTTTTAGTTCTGCATAAGATTTTTTATTTACTGTTAGTTTAATTTATTAGCTCGAAGCGGCATTTTGCGCTGTTTCACTATAAATGTCCATGTCTCCTTGCAAATTGTTGTTTACCAAATACTATCGCCCTGTATTATATTTAGAGAAATTAAATAAGGAAGAATCTGCATGAATACATGTATGTTTCTCGCATTGAGACAAAAACTATGGTATCTAGAGCCATCAAATTTTGAATAATGTAATCGAACTCGGCGATCTGGACGGTCGAATTTCGTATTTGTTTTAATCTATTTCATATTTTGTAAAACTTTAACGAATTTTTGATTAACAAACTCAACGAGTTCAAAGCAAGCAATGGTAACACTGTACGGAAAATAATATTTTTATCTCCAGTGCGGAAATTCTAAAGATATGCTGTTTTCAAATTTTACGGGCGATGAACATGATATTCAATAAATATAGGTAACACACAAAACGTTAAAAAAAGCTTCTTTTTGGGCGTAATATAAAATCTGAGTGCTTCTAGATTTTATTTTATCTTTTTTTTTCCCCTTCATTACACTCAGAAAATTTTATGCTCTGAATTTTATAAATTACTAATATAAATAATCCACTTTAATGTTAATAATTTAATGATGATATAATCACATAAATGATCGTTTTGTAATGTTATTACAGTTTTGAAAATCTCTGCCTGGAAATGTTTATTAAATTTTTAAAAAAATATATCAGATCTTGTTTAATTTTACCTTAATTATTTCAAAGCATCACGTACGTATCACGTACATGATCTTATTTAATTTTACTTTATTTTTACGCTAAATTAAGTTAATAAATTTTGTGCTTAGAGTTTTTACCGTTTTACCAAAGTAAAGATATTTGTACAAGAATTACGCGTGAAAAATATGCGCGAAATGCAGTAAAAAGTGCTTTAATGAGATATATTAAATCTTACTCGAAAAAAACTGTGACTTTCATAATCTCATCACTACAACGTATCACATTTAATAATTATATAAACAGTTATGTGATACAAACGCCATAGGTTTGGGTTAAAGAAAATCAGATCGTCCCTACTCTTTCCTGCGGACATGTAGGTGACGCCCGCCTCGCCCACTGGGTTAGTCTATATCTTTTATAAGAGATACTTAATTTATAATACTCAATTTTGTAACCAAATGTACTATTTTCGAACTTTTCACTACGAAGATAGATATCTTCGCCAGATGCATTTTATTTTCATAGGTTAACTTAACCCACCCAAGTACCCTTTCATCAATCCTAGCTTGCCCTCCTGGACCCATTGACTAAAGTGCTAGCAACTTACTTTATTTCTAGACTAGATATTCTAGACTCTGCTTCGCTGCGTACAGCCGATAAAGCGGATTTAGAGTGAAGTAGGAGCTAGTCGTGTAGTTAAAATTTAATTGATTCTGATTATATATACTATTTGGTGTTAAGTTACTTAACCGCAGGTGGTGGTTAAATTGTGAGCACTGAATAAGCGCATGTTATATTCATTTTAGTTAAAATAAAAAGGACGTTATAATCTTCTGCGGTAGTCATCTTTTTTCAAAGACATAGCGAGAATTCCTTATTTTGTCATCAGCAGTTTCTACATTTTATGTTCTCAAAAAGAACAAGAGTATACAACTAGTATTCTCTGGGCGGTTAATAACTTCAAGAGAATATGGAAGGGGTAATTTTGTCCAGTTTTATTATGTATGATAGAAAATTTACATGCACATACAAATATTAGTAATAATGAAATAAATATTCCAAAAGTTTCGTTGTCGTCCTTTCGCATCAGAAGTACAATGCATTTTAAAGAGAAGAAGTAGAAAAAGACGTTTCTATGCCTGTTAAGGGAGGGACCAATAAGGTGTGTGAGGTGTATTTAATTATGGCAAAGCACACTAAGGCTATCTGCCTAAGGGGAGGGATGCCTTCGTGGAGGACTTTCTAAGGGAAACTGGCTCGTATACACGTTACACATGGGGAAAACCACGAAAACGCCCGTGCAGCCAGCCCGTTCGCGAGATTCGAACCTCGGACCGAACTACCAGTGCTCAGCGACTTTACCGCTCGGCCGCTGGTGGGCCGGACCAATAAGGAAAGCTTGGTATTTTACGATTATTGCACACTGTTCGGAATTGTAACAGTAGCGGATAAAGAGAAAACAGAGAAGCTTAATTCTTCCTAAGAAGATTACTAACACAGTGGAAAGCGCATCATCATGCTGGTTCACGCTGACGACCTTACCGGTCTTGCTTGGCTCCAGTACTTTCATTCGTTATTTCAGACTAAAGTTGCGTTTGCGGTTTCTTCAGCCCACCTTTTGGAAAATACCTTCTTCTGTTGGTAAATACCGTTTTACAAGCTTCTTGGAAAAGGCCGTGGAATAGCATTCATTGTTGAAAGAACTGAGATGGAGATCAGATGTAACAATGCTGGTATATCAGAGCAGTCAATCTATAACAGAAGCATTATTAGGGTGGGGAACATTGTTGAGCCCACAGCTCATGAATGCAACTTATTGAGAATTTTGAGTTATAGTTTCGTTTCCTCTAATAAAGCTTACCGATTTGCAGATCTTAGAATTTCGTTTGTTTAAATTGCAACTTAAAAAAGAAGTGGGAGCAGCTTCAGTATAGCCCACCTTTAAAGTTTGGCGAATTTGTTTTGGCGCCAAAGCACATGAAATACGTTGTTTTGAAAAATGGTTGCCATCCAGATTTTCGACGAACTCCGTGTTTCAAAAATGGCGGCCATCTTGATTTCACCAGAAATCGTGGAAAATAGAAATAAATTTACGACTATTATACACGATTTTAAAAGAAAGAAATATTAATGAATGATTAATGAAATGATTAAGATTAAAAGGATGTAATTTTAAAAACAATGCCGAAAAATCTCCCCTTTGGTTTGCTTTCCTAAATGTAAGATACCTTTGCATGGTATCTTACATTTTTTACAAGTTTTATCCTTCAATAATCCACAATCCATCAAAAAATCCTCTAAAACGTTCATAATCTCTTGTTAATTCATGCATAAAATATCTGTTTGAAATGCCTGGCTTTCCCAAACTTTTACGCTTATTTGAAAACTCCCACCTTAAATTTTACTTTAAAATCTCTCGATACTTAATTAGAACATCATTAACAGCAGGTTTAGAGCAATCCATAACTAAATGCAAAAATCTGATCTCTAAAACAGTATTTTCCACAATATCTGAGCGTTAAACAATCGCCGAAAACAGTGTTACGAATTTTGTCTAGATATTTAATTTTAGTACAATTCTAATTAAAAAATGTTGTATTTCCTCGTGCATTGCAGCGCGAGATAAATTTTAAGAGAAGCTATGCCGGAAAAGTAAGAATACATTGGCACGTTCATTTAACTATGAGTAAATGGATATCTCGGTAATTTGTATTGAACTTGAATAAATGTAACTGACTACTATATTAGCTGTAACCGTAATTCCATCTTCTTGTTTACATTGCGTTTGGTGAATAGTATGGGTTACCACATCATATCATTTATCGCCGCTTTTGGCGATATTTTTTGGTTAAAATTCTGGGTGGGCTATACTGAAGCTGTGCCAAGAACTGCAAATAATAATAACGATATTGCATGTAAATTGGAAATGAATACTATTATAAAAAAGATATAGATGATACTGAAGCAGCTGCACTCAAAATAGTTGCTAGTAGAAGAGTAATGTAGATCTAAAATTATATGATTATACTATTTTGGAAAAAAGCTTAGTTCATATCAATCTTATCAACCATAATAATAATGATAACAATAAAGACGTCTCCAGTTATGATCACGAGACTATACTATATTTCACTATGCCACATTAACGAATGCGTGGAAACACATGGACTCGCATATCCTGAGCATAAAATCCAAAACCCCTTCTCTTCCCTGAGGAGGCGTGTCGTAGGAGGTATTGCAAGTCATGACGGCTACACAAAATACTAATTTCTACACATTCGACAAGTTGTACAAGGCTGTCGTTTTGATCAGTTTATTTTTGTACCTTATATTGTTTTTCATACGTATTTCTTTCATAAGTCTTCTTTCTCTTCAGGGTGTTAAATTTTCGAAAACTATCAATTAAGTTTCGTCTTCACAATACTCTAATCTTTTTAACAGGAGGCATACAAAAGTAAAAACACCTGTAAGTTTCTGAATATGCTCATCTGAATAGTTTCTAAGCCTTCAGTGACTTTTCACACTAATGAATTGAACATTGTTCTAAACCCGCAATGTGTTACCACAACCTGACACATTTTGATCAAAGCTGACACATATGCAAAAAGTAGCGGATCAAACGCAGTATTTTATTGAATTTACAATAGCATGCAAAAAAAAAAAAAAAAAAAAAAAAAAAAAAGAGAAAACTGTCATTTCGTTTCTCTACTGCCACCTGCTGGGGAGTAATTCATTCTAATTGTATGCTTTTGTTTGTAGTCCAGTTGGTACCTGCTGAATGTGTTTTGTGCCTAATGAGATACGCAACATTTGTATGAAGATTGTTCCGTGTAGTTTTTGTAGCAAGAAATATGCCTGCTCTCGTATGATCAAAATTTCGGTTCTTTAATCTGTTAGATCGCGATATTGCTATTTTTGCTACTTTTAATAGAATCGAAAGCTTTTGCTTTTTAGAAGAAAAAGAGGTTATAATGGACTTTATAACGAATGTCCTTTGCCGGCTATTGCTGCTAACAGGTAAGTAAAAACTATCTGTTAATAACAGATAACTACTGAAAATAAAAATGAGGTTAATTTTAAAGAACTTGTAGCTGAAGCCTTTCGTTATCACACTCTTCAAGGTATTGAATTACAGTTTCTGTATCTGCCCACTGATGCACCACTAGCATAATATAAGCTTCCTAGATAGCTATGACATAAAGCAATAGATTGAATGCTTATATTTTTAATACTAAAACTGGGGATTTAAATTAATCTCTAGACAGCTATGCGAATTTCAACTCTCTTTATTTATTCTAAACGTACATTGATATTCTGAATTTTGTTTCTAATTTCTCTGTTTGAAATATTTACTGGTAATTTAGCAGACGAAAAACATGAAATAAAATGCGATATAATATTTCTTGAAATCAAGTAAGTAAAAATTTAATTTAAATACTATTAAGTTGAGGATTAGGAAGTTAGAGAAAATTTCAAGACATCAGAATGAATAATCTCAGTTCTATATTAAGAAATAGATGCCTTTACACGGAAAATTTAAAACTGGACAACTATTAGTCTTAAGAGGGAAGTTGCTCTTAGAGGGACCGAACCTCTATGCATTTAAGAATGTTCTTTAAAAGGCCGCAGTAATACTTATCAAAACGAATGTCATTAGGAGAGTAATAAAGAAACTGTTATTGTTGAATTAACTTACGTATCTGCGTACAACAAATTGTTAAATTTTTCTAAAGCCCATACTGCTTGGGTAAAGGCCTTATGTAACTTACAATTAATTATAATTCTTAAAGCAATATGAACTAACTAAAAAAATGGTTCGAGAATTTCTTCTTCAATCTCGGTGAAGTTTTTTCATGTTTTCGCACCATCTCAAAATTAATAATCCGTAACGTGGAGAGTAGGAGTTTGTGAGTAGATAAATTTTTGCTTATAGTTCCACGACAGTCTGGGATTTATTTCAGTTAACTTTATTAGGCCAAAGGTTGTTATCCCAGAAGGGCTATTAATTTCTTTTTGGCATTTTGCGTCGAATGGTTCGAAAACGGTGCATCACTTTTCAAATTGTTGCCATCAAAAGTTAGAGCCCTGCATTAGATTTAAAGATATTAAATAATGAAAAATCTGCATAAATGTATGTTTGTTTCTCGCATTGTGATAAAACAACCGTACCTAGAGCCACCAAATTTTTTATAACGTAATCATTCATCCGAATATGGACATCCGGAAGCCCTAATCTAGAAGGTGTGCAGAATATGGAGGTTTGAGTGGAGGGCGAATTTTGTCGATTCGTAAGAATACGTGTGTGCATGTTTCTAATGACAGATTGACATAAGTTCTGATATTGTCATGACCAGTAGAAACACTGGGATTAAGTTTCCTAATCATTGCATTTAAATTAGAAACATAAGTGGTAGCAATAGGGTGTGTGAGAGAATTTGTAGAAATAACATCGAATGGTAATCGTAAAGAAGTGCCGTATACAAATTGAGAGCTTGTTGCATTTAGATCATTTTTAATGACTGTGTGTAATCCTAATAACACCAATGGTAGGATTTATGTCCATTTTAGTATGTTCATGAGCTGTAGGAGCACTTATGAGATGTCGGTGTAATCTTTCTATCATTCCTCTGCTTTGAGGGTAATACGAAGTTGAATGTTGAATGAATTCTGTAGCTGCCTAGCATATTTGTAAGTTCAGGCAATATTGACTGATGTCCGAGAGTGGTAGAGGTCCAATAAAGTCCAGGTGTATTCGAAAAAACACGCGTCAGATAGAGCAAATGCGCTAATCGGATCTTTAGTATGTTTAAAAACCTTAGATCGCTGACATACGGCGCAACTTCGAACTTTTATTTTAATGTCTTTTCTCATACCAGACCAAACGAATCTTTTGGAAAGCTAAAATACCGGGATGCGAAAGATAATGCAAATTTTTTAAAATTGCCTGTCTAAAAGATTTAGGAACAAAAGGACGGGGATGTTGATTTGATTTGTCACAAATTAGTTACATATCTTCAAGTGGAAAATAATGTTTTTCTAACTACAGTGATGAATTTGACTGAAGAAATTGTTGCACTTCAGCATCTTGAAGTTGCTGTTCAGCACGTTTTTTTATAATAAATAGCAGGCGGTGACCAGATATCATTGATCTCTATCCTAGATAATGTGTCAGCAAAGATGTTTTGTTTACCATTTACATACCGAATATCCATCGAAATTTGATATATATAATCCAAATGTCTGATTTGACGAGGTAAACATTTATCAGGCTTTTGTTGTAAAGCGTATATCAATGGTTTCTGATCTGTGTAGATAGAAAAAAAATTACCTTGAAGCATGTGTTGAAATTTTTTATTGATGTATAAATAGCTAATAATAGCTATAAATGGGTAATCTAGCGCATCGTGCTGCAGCAACACAGGTCCGGGGTTCGATTCCCGGGCTGGGAAAGGTTGACTCAGCCTTTCATCCCTTGATTTCCATCACTTGGGTCGATAAAATGAGTACCAAGTTCGCTTGGGGAATAAATAGTGGGGGTCCTGCGACAAGCTGACCACTTGTTCAGGGCATATTCTTACGCACCCCGGGGCCAACGGTCAAGAAAGCAGATTTTGGGCACTGCAAGCTTTGGTCCATTAGGGCTGTTACGCCACTGAGTTTTAGTTTTTAATAAATAGCTAAGAGCTCACGATCGTATGTTGACCAATTTCGCTCACCTTTTACTAAGTTTCACGGACAAGAATGCTATTGGTTCCCAATTGTTATTTGAAAATTGCATAAGAAAGCTGACAATTGCTACATCTAATGCTTCGGTCCACAGACTCAATTTAGCACCAGGAAACTGGTACTTAAGTAAGGTTGCTTCAGCGGGGGCTAAAATGTCAGCAGCCTTGAGAATAAAACTAAGGTAAAAATTGCACATACCGAGAAATCTGCGAAGCTCAATCGTATTTGGTGTAGGAAAATTTTGTATTGCTTCAACTCAATCAGGTAAGGTGAAAGTCCTTTTTCGGAAACTCAAAAACCTAGAAAATCTAATGAAGATTTACATGGTTGCAGTGAAAGACCATAATCATTAAGACGTTCAAACAGCGCTCGTAAATGATGAATATGCTCCTCATGATTTTGGATGCAGTCAATATGTCATCAGTGAAGGCATAAACACCATCTAAACCACTAGTAACCTCATCAATGAATCATTGAAACGTACTGGAAGCATTGCATATACCAAATTGCATTCGATTATTTTCGAAGAGTCCGGAAGGGGTATAAATGGCTGTTTTATGGATATCTTCTGGTGCAATAAAAAGCTGATGAAAAGCTTTTACTAACTCTATGTAAGAAAATATTTTAGTGTAGTTCACTCGTAAAATCTATTGGGAATAGGGTACCGATTTTTTAGAAGCCCGGACGTTTAAGGAGCGATAATCGCTAACAGGACGCTAGTCATCACTTACGTAGTCACTACATCAGCCCGTACTACCACATCATTTCCCTAGAAAGAACATAGCGGTGTACACTTTTGCTTTCGATTTGAAATGCTGATGATACCAGAAAATGTCCGAAGCAGCTGCGGCTGAAGGACTTCGATGAGGAGCCCGTTAAATATATCGTTTACGAGAATGACTTTTCGGCCTTCTTAAGGAATTTACTTCTTCAAGGAGTTATTTCAACTCCTTTAGAGATTCTCTTCAACTCCTCTCGAGATTCCGTATTATTAGTAATATGAACATTGGAAGCATTCGAAACTGCGGATTCCTGGAATGGATAAACTTCCAAAATTCGATCAGCCACCTCAGCGGCATTTTGTGGTGATAGTAGCGAAATGGATGCCCTAATAGCTTGAACGTTTGCAGGAATTACTGTAAAAATAACTGTAACATGAGAGAGTCGGGAATAATATGCTACTCGGCGCCGCGCTGCATCACACGAAGCAGTTCGCTAGGCTTACGATCGACAACTGTTCTCCAGCTACTAAGCGTCTAATTTCTTGTGGGACCATAACACATATTAGATTCATTTTCCGTTGGATATCATAACGCGAATTGTGTTTATATCCCTACACTATGAGCTTTTCTGATAGTCATTCGTACTTAAAATGACTTTTGAATGATACATTTCGATTTTTGTCATAGATGTACATTAATTCCAAATTTCATCAAAATCTGTCTGTTAGTTTTCCAGAAATTCGAGATAATATGCCAAAATTATCTTAATTTTGCACAGGAGTGTATTTCGCATTCGTAATTTCTTAATATTAAACATATGAATTCAAAGCTATAGTCTTATTTATAGAAAGCGTTTATGGTTGTACGTGATAAAATAGTCTTTTATATACTATATTGTAATGTTCCAACCTAGAATTTACAGCTAAATGTGCGAAACCTTAAGAACTGGTAAGCGAATCATCGCTTTAGTTCAGGAGACAGAAGCCCAAGAGGGTTGATTACCCTTTATTGATCAAAATAAAGTTCACAGTCGGTCCTAACTAAGCTGAAAAAATATAGCCGAAGCTATCAAAATTCTACAGGAGTTGGCCTCTTAACGCTAACTAAATGGCGAAGACCTGAAATACGGCCAAACGTAGTAATAACTTACAGAGAGTATAGCCAAAAGGCGAACGCGCGCTGGTCAGAATCTCTGGCTCTCTAACGAAGTCAGTGTAACTTCGACTTTAAATATCGTTCTTTCTTCATTTGCATTAAACCGCAATTCTGAAAACACATTCTGGCAGGAAATTTGTAAGCTGAAATTAGAAGTGACAAGAAAACGGCTTTAACTAAAAATTAACTAAGCTTAGGATAAACCGTACAATATAAACTTGCATTATTATAAATTCATTTTATATATAAATATACAATAAAACCTCTCATTGCGTTCACCTCTTAAAGATGAACATATAAAATAGGTAGCGTTTTGAAAATCAAAACTGGATAAGAAAATTAGAAATTTCCATTATTGATCTACTTTCAACTGACCACCTTTACAAAATGATCATCAACCATGAAAATATCGTTTAGAACAGTTTTACGGTGTATTGAGTTTACGGCCAAACAAATCTTTTATTATTAATGTATGAATTTTGTTTTTCAGATTCCAGTACAAATTTTTATGTGCCAGCCTCCAAAAATCTCCGACTGTTACCTTCCAATGTCTCATCTGTCTCCGACTTCTGTCTGGCACCCTTGCACGTCAAAGAAGGTGAAAATTCTCTTTTTTTATTAGTCGTTATATGAAAGACATTTTAATTGCCTTCTTAATACTTCACTGGATCATTTTATTTAAGACCTTAAATGTAGTTTGGGTTCCTGCTTGTCTGCATTTACTTTGCTATCTAATTTGCTCAAAGATTCTTATTTCACATGAACCACTTTAGCATTCAGAAGTATGGCGTTGCACTGAAAACATAATTTAAGATTTTTTTTTTTTTTTTTTTTTTTTTGTGCCACCATGATTTTTAGGATTCTGGAAGGAAACGGAAGTAAAAGGTTTTTAAAACTATCTCGCACATCTCTTTCAGTTATAAATAGAAAATTTCACTTACTTAAGTATGGATGACTTTGCATGTTCTGCTTGTGAAAATGTAGCAAAATCACTTATAAGGTAAAGTAACTTGTTCTGCCATTTTAATCACATGAACAATTTTCTAAATTTCCTTCAGTCCCATAGCTAAAGATTCACAGCATCATTAATAACAGATGTTGACACCACAAATTTGTCTAGTGAGCTATTATAAAAAGGTAAAGATCAGTAGTTTTTTAATCAAGAATTATAAGAAATAAAGGACATTTAAGGTCGTAAATAAAAGATTTTCCCAGTCGCTTATGAAAATTAGGAATGTCTCCAATAATTATGAAACAAATAATAATAAAAGAAGACAATAATATGTACAAAAATCTGAAAGCTCTCAGGTTTTACGTTACGCCCACAGAGGCATTTTTTAACGTTTTGTGTGATACATTTGGGTATTGAATATCATGTTATTTGCACTTAAAATCATAAAATTCAATTCAACAGCAGTATCGCAAAATAATTTTAAAATGAGCATATTTTTAGAATTTCCGATGCACAGTTTCGACAGTAGATAAAGGTGTTTATTTTTTTGCTCGCTTTGAAATCGTTGAGTTTGTTAATCAAAAATTCTTTAATGTCTGACACAGTATGAAACACATAATAAATCAAATTCCAAATTAGGGCTTCAAGATGCCCAAACTCGGTGGAGGATTACGTCATTCAAAATTCGATAGCTCCGTGTACCGTTGTTTTCTCACAATGCGAGAAATATACATACATTTATGCAGATTCTTCGTTATTTAATTTCTTTAAATATAATACAGGGCGATAATATTTGGTAACAACAATTTGAAAAGTGATTCGCTGTTTAGAGTGAATCAACGCCAAATGCCAAAACGAAATTAATAGTTGCCGCCTGGGTCAGTTGCCATTTTAGGCTAATAAATAATATGGAATAATATTTTTAATTTCTAGAAGCTTATTTCAAATTGGTTCTGGAGACACGTGATAGATTACAATGAAAACTGACTCTGACGAGACTGTTTTCTCTGAATAAAAATGCACAGTGTTCGTCATAAAATTTGTCACGTTTTCATGCTATAACGCACGCTCACCTATATATATCTATATCTCTCTATACATTAAACTAGTAATATTATATCATAGAGCAAAATAAGTTCAAAACCCATAACCGAATATGGGCTGCAAAGCAACATTGATTCAGTGACAATATTTTAAAACATAAACATTGGATTCAAACTCATATTCACTACTGAAATAGTGTATTGGTAAAATTTTTTTCCTCAGTTGCTATATATCAAATTCATACGATATACATTGTGGTGTGTGAAAATATATCTATAGAGAGATTGCTTCTCGCTTTTGGGTTAAGATCAAAGTCTAGATATATAGGTATATGAGAATCTTCATTCATATTGGATAATTCTATTTGCTAATGAGTACCATGAAGAGCTCACCAAATATCCAATCCTGAAGTTGTTATGAGAAATGTAACACTTTATTTTGCTTTTTATTACTTGGTGTTGCTTCTTCTTTTACTTTGAAGTGTTACTTTTAATTTTGACGCTGTGTAGAGACATTAGGCTTTTCTGGAAGTAGGCAAGATTGAAAAGTATGCAACGCCTTCGCCGGGAATCGAACAGCGAACCTCTCAATTACGCTCTGAACGTGCAGACCACTGCACCACGAAGACTTGCTAAGAAGATGGAAGAAATACCTTACATACTCCCCGTTTTAAAGGGCAACTGTCATTTTTAGGGGACCCAGTCGCCAAATCCTGGGTGAGGAGAATCATCACCCAACACCCTTTCAGTTCGGGCGACACTGTAGAGACACTAGGTATCTCTTTGAAGCAGGAAAGATGAAAAATGAACAAGGTCTTCGCCGGGAATCAAACCGCGGACCTCTAGAATACCGGCCCAACGTGCAGACCACCCCACCACGAAGGCACGCTAGAAAGGCGGGAGAAATACATTATATACTCCCCCTTTTAAAGAACAACTGGGGTTTTTAAGGAACCCAATCGCCAAATCCTGGCTGAGGAGAATCATCATCCAACACTCTTTTAGTTCGGCCGCCACTGCAGAGACATTAGGTACTTTTTCGAAGCAGGCAAGATAAAAAATGAGCAAATACCTTTGCCGGGAATCGAACCACGGACCTCTGAAGTACGCGCCCAGCGTGCTGACCACTACACTACGAAGGCTCGGCAAGAAAGTGGGAGCTGCACTGAATACCTTACAGCCTTATACCTTATAGCTGCACTGTAGTATTTTGACTTACAGTGCGGCTATAAGGTATAAGGCTTCAGGAATTAATAAATATTTACGTATTAAATTTTACAAAGTCTCTTTTATTATTTATTGTCTTTTACTCAGCTTTTAGTTATATATTTAAGATTTTATAGGGTCTCCCTCAGTTTGGTTAAAGGAGATAAAGATTTGGCACAAATGTTGTAAAAAATATCTGTAATTGTAAAAATAATGAAATAGTGAATATTGGGAAGGATCTATATCTCCAGATACATTTCCTTCATGGGGTTAGTATTCTGAGAAATACAAAAGAAAAGCTTTTTTCAGAGCCAATAGACGGACAACTAAACTAAAAATATAAATTATATCATTAGCAAACACGGTATATAATGTTCGAAGCCCAACATGCCTGAAAAAATTAAGCTGCAAAAACAAAAATTAGGCAAATTAAAATAATTAATTTTTAATACTTTAAAAAATTACAATTTTTGAAACGCGAGCTTTTAAACAAAAATGCAACTGGTTTTTTGTTGTTTTTTTTATGAAGAAAGTAATTATCATCTGTAGAACTAAGTAATAAAAATCAGCGGGACATAATGAGGAAATATATAATTCATAAAAGAAACACACATAACTAAATTCATAGCATAAATTTTGAAAAAAATTCAGAAAAGCAAGCTTTGAAACAGATTTAAATTGTATTACATATTCGGGGGAGGGAAGAACAAATGTGAAAAGGATTCTTGCAAAACATGCAGTGAGATTAGAGCCTAAAAAACCATTGATAATGAAACTCAGAGAGAAAACGTAGCAACAGAACAGAAAAACAATTTTTAGTTGAAAAGGCACGAATAAAAAAGTCTTTATATCAGCTCAACTGTGAACCTAACCATGAAAAACGCTTCAAATTTAGAAAGCAGCACAACCATGAGCAAATCTTTTGCTTTCGAAAAGAGCAAAAGAACAGAGAAATTAGTGTAGTTTTGTTGGAAGTAGGAAGAAGTTTTCAAAACTGAAATAAGTTGAATTGTAAAAATATTAAGAAACTTGGGAATAGAAATTGTAAAAGAAAGAAAAAGGTTTGCATATTGCAGTTAATGGCAAATGGCAAAAGCCAAAGAAATAAAAAATAAATCTAACCTAAACTAATTTGAGCATGAATTTAAACTTGTAGAACTTAAATTTGCAAGGCAAGTAAATAGCTGCTAACATTGCAAAATACCTTTTCTAACCTAATTCTAGTTTATTTAATGATATATATCAATATGTTATTCATATTATACCTACCTATTATTGCTACTATATCTATATGTAGATTTCTTGAACTGTATAACTTAATAACAAGTGAAATGTTGTTTTCTTTCAGATTCAAATCTAGCTATTGACCTGCCAGAGGACACCGATCTATTGTCGCAGCTTAACGCATCTGAAACCTGTAAGACACCGGCATGCATCGAAGCAGGTGACATTTAGTTTGCCTTATTTGTAGTTCTCATAAAATATACAAAAGAAAAGTCGTCCTTCTTCCTGCGGACAGAAACATTTATTTCTGAAATAGTATTGAATTGGGACAAAAAAAAAAAGAAAAAAAAATGTAGCTAGATTTGTTATTTGTCGACCTTTTTTATTTCTTTTTCAAATTGCACATTGTTATGATTTTCGGTGACTGGAAAAATGCCCACAGGAAAAACGACCACAGGAATAATGCTCACAGGTATAAATTCTCACAGGAAAAAAGCCCACACAGAAAAAAGCTCACATGGAAAAATGCTCACTTAGAAATATGCCCACACGGAAAAAAGCTCGCGTAGATATATTCTGACCTACTTCAAACAGGCAATTAAATGTCTTCAAAAGTGTTTATATTACACTAGATTTAAATATTCTGGCATATCGGAATTCATATCTGAAATAATAAAGAGGAAGCTATAAAATGTGTTTTCAAAATTCAATTTAGTTTTTGTATCTAATTTTTTATGTATTCTTCTTTAATGACGAAACTAAACATTCGGAATTTTAGTTAATCTGTTGTTAGATAGATTATATAGTCTGTTTTAAAAGTCGCAAAACTTGGAGACCATTTGGTGACATTTTGGTCTGGTCCCTATACAAATGTAATTCGTAGTGTGATTCAATAAATGTAATTGATCTCTATATGTAAATGTAATTGTATCTGGCGCTCATATGCTTTCCAGTAATTTCGAGAAGTGGAAGGCAATGTAATGTAATGTATTATACGAATGTGCTGCAACCCTCCTGGCCGATAATAATTAGTCTCGTGGTTAACGCAGCACACGCAACACAGATTGAAACAAAAATGCAATTAAAGACATGAGATCAAAAATAGTACGAATAATTGTTCTATTGCCATTTGTTCATCAAACCCTTTGCAAATCTAAACTCTTTACTGCGGCAATAAATTCCTTTATGTATCTTGTTTTCCCTAACATGTCGCAATAATACGCAGTATTCGACGAAATCTCCTGCATTGCCTTTAGCACTACAAAAACTACAAAGATTATTATTTTGGAAATTAAATCTTTTCAGGTACTCTGGGAAGCACCAGTGTCCAGTAATAATTTGATTAGAAGTAGAAAGTACTAGAGATTTTTCGACAGCAGGGGAAAAAATTATACAAGACCGGGTCGATCGTGAATTGCTCGTCGACGTAGACTGCGTACTGTCTTTTTCTGTATATATAGTGTTATTATATCATTAGACGTAAAGAGGAAGTATAATATGGATTTAATAAAGAAACTATCATGTCAGGAAAGGAAATTAAGTAAACATTTATAGAAAACGCAAGACAACCGAATGAGTGTGAGTAACTAATGTAACGATACGGGGAAAAAGTGAAAACTGCAGTGATGAAACTTTCACAAACTGAATATGGCAAAAATATTTTATTTTAAAAGAAGGATGAAATAGAAGAAATGTTGTAGAACTTTGTAAATGCAGTTACTTGTAAATTCAATACTAAAATAGTTTTTTAAGTGAAAGTTGAAAGAAGGAGAAAACAGATTAAATTTTAGAAGCAACTTCGTATTTAGTGGTAGGTGACAAAAATAAGAATATACTTATTTCCAATTCCAGGAAGCAGAATAAAAATAGGAAAATTCTAATTATTTTCACTGCATAAATGATTCAAGAGGTCCGTGATCTTAGAGATTGCACAATCATAAAGAATTAATTAAGAATATCTCATAGGTATTTAATTGGTGAGAAAGAAAAAAAATAAGGTGCTTCAGTGTTTATCATTGAAACACTTTTTTTTTTTTTTTTTTTTTTTTTTTTTTTGTTTATCTTCATACATACGAAATAGAGCACTAAGGATTACCTTTGTGACTACCTGTTCAATTCTAACTGTGACTATCTTGTGAGACATGAGCATAATAGCAGATTTTCAGAGTTTGTCTCTAATAGCATACTGTCTCGCAATAATATAAATCATACATGCACAGAGAAAGAATTCGAAGGATCCAAGGCTCAAAATTAATGGATCAAGTAACACAAGATCAAATTGAAGTGAAAGAAAAAACATATGTTGCCTACCTATATAAAGATTTTCCTCCCATTCGGTTAACATACTGTTTTCAACATTAAAAAAAAAATCTTCTTTTGTGGGGCGATTAAAATGAACTAAAAACTCTATTGGCTGGCACCGTTTTAGGACAAGTTGAATTAGTGGTCAAATACGACGCTTGTTGTATGAGCATGTTTAAGAAATTATGAAACTCAGAAAGGGATTAGTATATTTGAAACAACATTCAAAATAAAATAATTACAATGAGTTCTAATTAAATTATCTCCGTTGTGAAAATAGCATAATGTTCTGAAACAAGCATTCGAAATAAATATTGTTCAATAGTTCTAGGTTTCATACCAGATTTAAATCACAAAAAAAACATGTGTTTCTAAAAGTTGTAAATGTGTGTTCTAATTCAGCCCTTATTTAAGATTTTTGTTATTTTTTTATTTTATTTTATTTATTTATAAGGTATTTCTTCCGCCTTCTTAGTATGTCTTCATGGTGTAATGGGCAGCACACTCGGCGCGTATTCGAGAGGTCTGTGGTTCGAGTCCCGGCGAGGGCATTGCTCATTTTTCATGTACCTCCTGCTTCAAAAATAATCTAATGTCTCTACATATTTTTTTTAATTGTACGAGATTGGAGATAATACACATATTGTAAAAGTCTCATCAGTATTGCCCTGTGTATTATCGGACTTAGGAATGCCTTTTGAACACGTATCTTGTTCTGTTCATAGCAGGAATTTTGCTATTAGTAACTGCAGTTATATCTTCAGAAATTGCACAAAGTACTTTTGGTGAGAAGTAAAGAATGTTTAGTTCAATTCATTTAATTTCTGCGCTGATATTTTCTGACTTCTCAAGTACTCTTAAAACTATATTTTCTCCCTCCTTCCAGCATGCCTTCGTGGTGTAACGGATAGAATACTAGGAGCGTATTTGAAAGGTTCAGGTTCGAGTCGCGGCGAGGGCATTGCACATTTATCACGTCTTTTGCTTCAAAAACATCCTCAGGACTCTACAGTGGCACCCGAACTAAAAGGTGGTGGATGATGATTTTGGCGATTAAGTACCCTAATACCCAGTCGCCCTTTAAAAGAGGGAGTGTATAAGGTATTTTCTCCCTCTTATCTGCATGCCTTTGTGGTATATCGGTAGGGCACTCGACGTGTATTCGAGAGGTCCAGGTTCGAGTCTCTACGAGGGCATTGCACATTTTTTACGTCTCCTGCTTCTTCAAAAAAGAACCCAATGACTCTACAAGACCACTCTGTGAAACTACATGGCAGATGAAAACTGAATCATAGCATTTAAATTCGCTTTATATACATTGTGATTTGGTACAATATTTTATTCATCTTAATAAAGTACTTCAGTAGGAAAACTTAGGTAGACAATGACAAGCTTATACTTAGGAAGACAGTCCTATACTTAGGAAGACAATGTACTAAATCTTATAAATATAACTCTATGTGGAAAGGAAGAATTTCGATCAAGTGGTTTTTAGAACGATAGAATAAAAGCAACTGACTTGATTATAACTTAGTGCTGTTCAATTCACTTATACCAGGCATAAAATTTTAAAACTTACGAACAATTTTATAACAGTATTATAGAATGTGCCCAAATAAGAATTTGGAAGACATTTTTCCAAATGTATCAGCACTACTGAGGATTTGCTTGTGCAACCAGTGTTTGCAATCTCAACAAAATGCAGTTTTTCAGTAGAGATGAAACGGTAAATAAAATATATGATCATCAATAAATAAAAGACGATTAAGAATTCTGCAATAAAAGAAGAAGACATCACAAATTCATTGGACACGGTACATAAAGCGTCTGGTGCTCAAAATGCGAGAAATATAAACATTTAAAAGAGTAATGTAGCAAAAATATTCCAAAGAAGAAAGAAGTTAAAAACATATATGGTGTAATTTTACGAAAAAAAAAAAAAAAAACTATGAGGATTCTAGAGAACTTTTTTTAAAGGTGATAAATTGTAATGTGAGAAATAAATCAGAGTACTTACTTTAAAGTAAACGTTTATAGCGTTTGGTCAGTAATGCATATAATACCATTAAAAGAGTTGAAATTCATTTAATAAAATTAATTCTTTTTAACATGATGAAATTTAGACGTATCTTTATTTCTGCTGAGTTTTGTTCAAGATGAACTCACTGAATCGCATGCAAATCATGTTAAAAATAACACTTCATTTATGAAAATTCGTGTTTGCCATAAACACTACTGAACTGTTTTAAATAGTCAATTCAGTGACAAAAATAACAGGTAACACTCGGAAAGTAACTAGCAAACATATTTAAAAATTACAATGCTATTTTATCATGAACTTTAATTTATTTACCTTAAAGTCATTTAATATTAATAAGTATTAGTTATATAATGTTAATTAAATGTGCATCAAAATGTTACAGCTTAATGATATATGATCAGATGTGATGAAATTTCATTGAATATATTTCTATAATATCAAGTTTCCCATCACAGCATTATGTTTATTGTTTAAAAATTGTGTATATTTCTCGAAGACTGTGCATTTCTCTGTTGTTGAAATCAAAATTTCAGATTCACCGAAATTTTAAAATTTTAAATAACAATTAACAGTAAAGACTGAAATTATTCTTACGCAATAATGAATTTTCATTTTAATGAATTTTTTAATCATTGTAAGTGTGTGAACTCATTGTAAGTGTGTGAGGATGTGGTATATGAGTGAAAGAGGCATGGAGCGCTGTGAACGATGATGGAATATAAAAATAACAAAACACCAAACATTTATTTTTTTAATTTATTGTAATTTATTCTTTAAAATTATATATATCACGAAGTATGACAATATCACTAAAAAACAATATTAAGCCCTTAATGCAATAGAGTGTACAATATTTTTTGTTAGCCCATCTTTAGCTAACACAAACAAACTGAATGGTTTGCCCACTCGAGAGCATGCCCGTGTGAAAAACATGGTGTGCTCAAATCTAAACCACAAACAGCCATCGTTTGGCCTTGAGACTTATTAATAGTCATTGCAAATGCCAATCTAATAGGAAATTGAAGAAGTTTAAATTGAATTGGCACATCTGTGGGTATAATAGGGATTCGTGGTAGTAATATATTTTCGCCTCGGAAATTTCCATTTAAGAATGACTGGAAATTAATCGACAATGTTTCTGAAAAACATTCGAAAACGTTTTTCATTAATTTTTTAATGACTAATCGCGTGCCGTTGCGCAGCCGTTGTGGGTTTAAATTACGAAGCAAACTTCAGTTGTAAATTATGCGGTGGCATGCCTGGCAAATCCAATGAGTTCAAAAACTCTGTTGGATAATTCACAGCTTCGTTGGCATCGCAAACTGTATCAATAGATTTGTATGACACCAAGTCCCCTGGCAATAACTGTTGTATTTTGAGATTCAAATCGTTGACGTCCACATTTTTTGCTGCTAAAATTGCTCTTTCTGCCAGCCACCCATGATTAATGTATTGTGTGCGTACATCGGGAAATATCTGGGCAATGAGAACATCTTGCGAATTAATGATTGTGCAGAAATCGGTCGGTAATTTTATGCATCCAGTTTCATCTATAGTAACTTTTCCATCCGCGATATCTAACAGTTGTTTTGGGAATGTTTCAGCGGATGGATCTTGAAGCATTTAAAGGCGCATATTTACTTTCAGTTGCACTTTTTCAACATGATCCACAGTGGCGATGATTTTAATCAAGCGTTGATCTATTAGGTGCCTCCATAATAAAGAGACCACCACATCCGGCCTTGTATAGATTAATGGACGAGGTTACATATGTAATTGTTCACAATCTGCCATTGGAAAAAAAATTCATCAGGACGGATTTTGTCGATTAACCAAACCAAAATGTGTGCATGAGGTAATCCTCACTTTTGCCATTCAACCGAATACTTACAGCAACGTGTGGGACCGAATACATGTAATTTTGTAATGAAACTTATTAAAGACTTTAATTTTTGTCTGAACACACGTGCTGTAATGTCATGACAATGTATTGCATATTGGCCATGAAATAGCAAAGATGTAATCTCCGGCCATTTTTGGATTACACGTGAACGTGATAAATAAACGCAGTCGTCTATATTCGCGCACGAAAGTCAGAGCATCCTGTATATATTCTTGCATATGACGTGGACTCCCTATGTACGATGATGGTAGAGTGACAGAGTTACCAATTTAGGCGGCGTCGGCGTTGTTGACAATAGCGTCTCGCAGGTGAATGTATTCTTCCGCACGCAGTTTTGTTGATATATCGCAAGTATCGTAGTCGTTCGCTCTCTATCTTGATGTACATATCGACCATGAATTTTTCACAAAGCTCACGATATCGTAGAATAACGTTGTCTTGACCGCGTCTTATCATCAACCTATACGCATAATAATCCTTCGAGCTAACGTTCTTGTTTGGTTCGGCTCCTGTAATAATATATTCATAAATATTAATTCAAATTAATTAAGATTAATAAATTAAGTTTCTTGTTAAATGAGTAATGATTAAGTTCATAATGAATGAAGTACCTGTTACGGGATCTCGTTGTTTAATATTTATGCAATATCCGTCTTGTCCCTTCCAGAACATTAGCGGATGTTGAAGAGCGTCATATGAACGGTGTGTATCAGCAATGTACTGGAGATTATTATTTCTTCTGCGAATCACGATTTCTCGTGTAGCTGTACGATCGCCAACCATGATTCCAGCAACGTCATCAACAACAGGTGCATTTAATCTCGGAATGTGCTTTCCAGCTGGTGTTTTATCAGGATTGATGACAATAGCTGATTATCACTTTGTAATTTGTGCATGCGTGATTTGAATATTTTCAACAATTCATTGTGCTCATTCAATAGAGCGTCCAGCTCGCCGACGATGCGTCTGGCAAAATGTGAATTGAGGTTATTGTAGCCACAACGTGCATCCACGCGATTGGAAAGTGCGCTTCCGGAATCCTCTACGCCCATAAAGTAGATTTGTAAAAATTTATGTGGTTCGTTTGCCATTGGCAGCAATGAACCCACTTTGTGATAAATTTGCTCTTTGATTTTGAATATTGAATTGAATTGTTGACCATTTGCAACATTATTTTAAACTATTTCTGTTGCTCCGAACAATGTCATTTGGAAAGATGAATTGAATATTCGAATTGACTTCAAGAACAGGTTAGAATCTGGATCCGTGCCGATAAGTAAACCGTTCAATGGTTCAGGTGGTGTATCAATTTCAGGCAGTTGCACCTTTCCTGACGTGCAACACATCCCGGCTGGCTCATTTTTAAATTTAAAAACATTACAATGCGGGCATTCCTTGTCCATAGCGCCAATTACCACTTTTGAATGAGCTTAATATTGAATATTGGGGTCATACTGGAATGCTAGTCGCAGGATGAAACAGATGTAAATGCTCTATGTACCTTTTGGCGTTCTTGGTCATTTGCTCTGCGTCTGTTAACTATGAAACGGCGTCCTTGTCTTTGTTCTAATCTCCTCTTTGTCCCTTTCGTTCAGCTCGTACATCTTCTGATTTTGCTTGACGCAATTATGCCATGCTCACACGCACATCAGTATTATCTTGCTGGATTTGTTCTTCTGTTCTTTGGGCTCTTCTTTTTCGCATGTCTGCAGCTCTACTTGTTTGACGGCTCAAATTAGTCCCTTTGCATCTTGTTGGCATTGTTCACTGTACAAAACACATATAAATAGAACAAACTGAATTACTTAATGATGAAAAACAGAATAGTAATAATGTATTTTTTCTTTGATATATACTATATTTTAGTTTTCGCAATATTTCTCTTTGTCACGTGTTGAGTACTTTTGAGGTTATATGAAATCACTTAATTAACTAAACGTGAGAACTAAGGAATAAATAATTATAGCCCTGCAAATTAATATTAAATTTACTTGAGAATATAATTAAAATGAAAACTTAATTATAATAAATTCATTAAAATGAATCGAGGCATTAAAATTAATATGATTAAAGAATATAATGGCCGAAAACTGTGTAGGGGGTGAGAGAAGGTTTATTGTGTGAGCGAGACAGGAGAGCGGCTTCGGTCTCATTCTTACTCCGGCCGTTTACTGGGTGAGAAGTGATACCGGTAGACGCCTGGTGGGGATAACTGATCAAGTGATAATTGATCAGTTACCTACCAGGGTTAAAAATTATTAAATTATTAATATCGCTATTAAGAAATAGGTTTGGTGGTAGAAGTGTGAAAATTTAGGTTATATGTATTTTTTAATGCCACATCATAAAAAAATAAATAAAAAATTGAGGGGTGGACCACCCTTATCACTTAGGGGTTTGAAAAATAAATTACGACCGATTCTCAGACCTACCGAATATACATATAAAATTTCATAAAAATCGGTCAAGTCGTTTCGGAGGAGTATTGTTACAAACACTGTGGCACGAGAATTTTATATATTAGATGTAGTCCGAATAAACAATTAAAAAGAACTTCAAATATTTAGAACCGTTTTTCTATGTATTTTTAACAATAACAACGGTAAAGAAAAAACTGGTAACTATGGTAACACATTGCCACTGCGCAGATAGTCTCGCAGACGATTTTCACAGACGATGTGTTAGCGTCGCAGAACAAATACAAAAATATTAAACAATGTTAATCAAATATAAAGCAAAGTGTGACAACTTAAGTTCAATTATATATATGATCAGGTCTGATGAAATTTTATTGAATAAATTTCTATGGTATAAAGTTTTACATCATAGTATTATGTTTCTTGTTTAAAAATTATGCGTGTTTCTCAAAGACTGTACATTTCTCTGTTGTCGAAATCAAAATTTTAAAATTTTAAATAACAATTAAAGACTGAAATTATCCTTACGCAATAATGTATTTTCTTTTCCTTTGCAGCTGCCAACATCCTATCCAATATAGATGAAACTGTGAAACCTTGCGATGATTTCTATCAATTCGCTTGTGGTGGTTGGATGAAAAGATATGTCAATGATTTTATGTCTCTACAAGAATTGGGTTATGTAAGCAGAAAAAAAATGAGAGGTGAGAAAATGTACCTCAGTTTCTATAGAATAAGTTCATTGTAACGGAGATCGATAACCTTGGTAAAAAAAGCGATTTATCAAAATGTGCATCATTTCAACCGTTTGCGAAAATTGAGAATTATAACTTCTTTTTCCCTTTAAAGGGATGAGCTTTATTTAAGGATTAAAACTAAACGGATTAATTGTGAATATAGGTAAGCTTGCCGCATATGTTTATGCATACTAGGTATAGCATTCACTTTTAGCAAGACATTTTTGGAGGGATTCTTTTTCCTAACAAATCAGCACTTGAATTTTATGCGGGAGATCTCATTTCAAAACTAATTTCATTTGACACATCAACTGTACACTGCGAAAAAAAAAAAAGGACAGTTCGATATCTACCGTTCTACTAGGCCGATTGACGAAATTCAACTTGCGTTTTTCATGTCTCGAAAGCTCCACTTAGGATATGTATTAGATTTATATATAGCATTTTTCTAATCTAGGTATTTTGATACAAAATCGGACCTTTTCTGAAATAACATACCATTTTTTTTCTATATTTCGATTCTACGACTCAAGTTATGCCAAACTACCAAGTTTTGTAAAAGTCGCACGAGTAGTTTTTAAAAACTTACCTCTCAAAATTTTAGTTCCTCAATGCTAATTGAGTTTGGTTTATATTTATTAATCTATCTTTTTTATTAAACTTATTTGATTCTTTCTTCCACATTTAGAAATTTAGGTTCATTCCAAATAAAATTTACCCATTTTTCATGGTTTGTTTTTAAAATTTGTATTTTTAAATAAGTTTTATAAATTTTGCAAAACATTTTTTTAATTATAATCTATAAAATTTTACCCTGATCTTAAAGTAGACGTATTTCTAAGCATACCTGCAAAACATTACAATTTTTATTCAAAATTCCCGAAGATATAAGTGAATATATTGGCCCATTTTGAAATTTAGCATATTTGTTGAAAGTGAGGTTTAGACACTTTGATAAAATTATTTGGAAGTTGAAGCTAAGTGACTTTTTCTCCTCTCATGCAAAAAGGTGAGAACGAGGTGCCTTTTTTTCCGCTCCGGCATAATGGAAGGGAAAGGAAAATGGGTTGCTACATGTTAAGAAGTTTTCCAAGTGAATTACTCTTGGCGCAAGGCTGAAAAAATCTCGCCAAGATAAATTTTTGAATTTCTCCGTAAATTTCGCACCACATTTTACAAAATTTAATATCTGGGCATAATTTGAGTCATAGAATCGAAATATGGAAAAAATTGGTATGTTATTTCAGAAAAAGTCCGATTTTATGTCAAAATACCTATGTTAGAACAATTCTATATGTAAATCTAATATATATCCTAAGTTGCTCTTTCAAGACATGAAAAACTGAATTTAAATTTTGTTAATCGGCCCAGTAGAACGGGAGATATAGAACCGTCCCATTGTTTTTTTCGCAGTGTACATGCATGTATCCAATGAGAAATCGTTCGTAAATGAAGAATGCTGTGTAAATAATTCGAAATAACTTTGAAAGACGACTTAACACACTATAGTGTTAGAAAAAGAGACGACTCAATTACTCATGTCTTTCTCTCTCTCTCTGTATCTTTTTTTTTTTTTTTTTTTTTTTTTTTTTTTTGTATGTATGTGTGTGTAAAAAGGGTAGACTACTTTCTGATTTTTATTATTTTACATTGAAACCTAAATTCATAAATTCATTTCGTCCTAAAGATCGTTCTTTAATCGAAATGTTAGTAAACCGAAACCGTTTTCTTCAGAGGAATTAATGTAAAATGGATTAATTCGGTCCTGAACCACAGATGATTTCATTCTGAAATTTTACAACAGTACTGTAACTCCAAACCGATGGAAATCGTTAAATAATAATAAACTATAAATAAATAAATAAACACAATTTTAAAACAAATCGATGAAAACTTAATTTGCTATTAGTCTACTTGTACAAAGAAATTGCACGAGGAAGACAGCATAGTTGGAAACTATAAGGATGTTATCGTTTAATTGCGAAATTTTCCTGCTATAACTCTTTCTAGGGAACATCTTCTTTCATATTTTCTTTTTCTCTACGAACCCCTTGACTCTAGTTGATTCTCCCTCAAAATTTGTCCAATGTGAGATGAAAATACTTTTTATAGCCTTTTGAAAGTTGCACTTTAAGTCTTGGAGCTAAATTGCATTGATCATATTGGAACCTGAATTTATTAAATATAGGAAATTTATTTAGGAACATTATTCAACTAAGTATTATGAACTTTGTTTTTTTAAAGGTTTCGATGAAAAAAAACCTTTTCATTTTTTCTCTTCCTGGCTATATAATTTTATTTTTGCATTGTTATCTTCATTTCTTTCCATGCTTTATATTGTATTTATGTTACCACCCTCCAACAATATGCTTTTCGTTGCCCTTTACCAACTGCAGAAATCTTCGTAAATGCAGGAAATATATCATGTTTATGAAAAGTGAGCTATAAATAGATAACTTTTATGAAAATAAATGTAATTTACATTTTCATCATTCAAATAATACAAGTTTGTTTAAACAAAAAGGCGCTTGGACATTGGATTAAAAAATATAAGCTGAAAATAATTTACTTTTACCAAATAGAAAGAAAAATGTCGAGATTGAAAGGAAGCTTGGTATTCAGCAAAAAATGTCTGCATATATTCAATTATAATTTATGTAAATTGAATTTTAATATACAATTAGCTTGTAGTTTGTTTCTGTCATTTAAGTAATTTACTAAGAAGTTTACCAATAGTCAAAAGAAAAAACTGTGGAAACACTACTAGCTGAACTCGACAAAACCCCTCAAACGGGCTAGTTGTTCGCACGTTTTCATGGTTTCCTTTATCAGTAATGCCAGTTTGCCTTAAAAATCTACTCTCCGAAAGCATTTACTTAGGCAGATACTCAGTGTGCTGATAAATCCAAATCAAATCTTTTTTTTTTTTCGTAGAATTAACTAATTTGCAGCTGGTTAGCAGCCGAACAATGCGCTTGAGGTCTTTCAACGTTGAAAGTAATAATTGTTGCATAACCCCAAGCTTCTTAGAATTATGCTTAAATTTCACTTTAGAATGTTAATATAATTTCAACTGGTCGTCTAATACTCAATTTTGTTAGACAAGGCTTGCTACCCTAGTATACTTTTAAGGGGTGTAAAAAAAAGAGATTATACCGGTACATATTTCTCGTTCCTCTTATCTGCAGGATTGCTTTTCTAAGACAATTTTTTAAAACGTTCCCTTTTAATACATTTAATAATTTCTATTGATCATTTTGAGAGTTTCCATTAAGAAGACGAAAATAAATGCAATTGCATTTAAATGAGCATTATTTGTTTTAATTTCCAGTTATCTTTGAAAAGAAATTAAACGGAGACCAACGTGAATTCGTTCGGCAGATGAAAGTATTTTACGACACCTGCATGAATCAAAGTAAGTTCTCATCAGTTTTTATGCGTGAAATACGATGGAAATATTTTCTTAGTGTTAAGTTATAATTAAGTTATAAATCATTTCAACAGAAGTATAAAAAATACGTAATTAGATATTTTTACAAAAATAATATGATATTTGAAATATATATTACTTTTTTAAACTTTTGTCATTTCGTTATTTTTACGCCCTTGTACGAAGTAAAAGAAGTATTTTAATCGCGAAGACTTCAGTGGCAATGTATATTATGACCGTTCTCGAATCCATTTTGGCTAATTTTTTCCTAATGTCTGTACTTATAGACAGAATAAAAGACACTTAATTCCCAAACGGATTGTAAAATGGATTTAAAATGGGTTTCCTCGTAACGTTTGTACATACGCATGTACTACGTATCTCGCACAACTCATAAAAGGTTAGCTATAGAACGTTGAAATTTTCTGTATGAGACTGTTATAACATCTAGTTAAGCAGTTGCTTTTTTTATTGTAATCGGCAATATGAACAGTAAAAGTCCTTTTCCGGCATTTATTTTCGTATTCATTGGTCGTAATAATACTTTCAATTCGGAAGTATTTTAAAAGACAAAAATATTCAAGTTTTGGCAATTTCAAATTAAAGAAACATTATTTTTTACAAATAATAAAATCTAACTTTTCAAGCAATCTCCCGGTTCCTATATTGATATTTGGGAAAATTTTATACTCCTTTTGAAAATTTAAAATTGTAACAAGTTTGACTCCCGTACGATAAAAATTGACCGGGATATTTAAGTTCAAAATTTACAATTTTTCATTGCTTTTCAATTTGCTTGAGGGTAATTAAATTTAGAATAATTCGAGGAAATAAGTTTAATAGCAGTACAGCAACAAATTGTGTATAATAATAGGCTTACAAGGAAGTCATGTATGGTGGTCACATCAGATTTTTTAATAAATTGAGCTAAGCCGCTCTTTCGAAGCTAACGAAAGATCTAAAGATTCTTATTTTAGTTCGGATTCCTATCTCAAAGTCAGCCAAAAGTCTGGTTTCAGAGGCGTTTGTCCGGATGTACTTGACCTTCTAAGTTTGTCCTAATGTGCAACAAGAATACGAGCTTTTTACTTATAAGCAAGCTCTGAAGTCAGTCCTCTCCTAACTTTTCCTAAGTTTCTACTTCTTGTTTCCCGCATTATGAAAAAGAGCGCCTACAGCCATCAAATTTTAAATAACTTAATTCTTCACAACAATATGAGCACCCGGAAGCCAGAATCTTGAATTTTGAATTTGTTTTATTATCTGTTTTGTGTTTTTTTAAAATTCAACGAATTTTTTATTAAGAAACTCAAAGTTTTCAAAGCAAGCAGTGGCAGCGGCTCTGTGCGGAATAAAATATTTTTATTTCTAACGCACTAAACTGTCTATCGGAAATTCTAAAGATATGCTGAATATTTTTAGCCCAAAGGAGCGTAGTCCAATTGTTCTCGAAACTTCTATGTATGCGTAAATGAAAAAAAAACTGCCCCTTTGGGAGTAGTGTAAAATCTGAAAGCTTTCAAATTTTTTAAAAATTTCTGTTAATTCTTTTTGGTATTTCCAATTCCAGTATTTTGGAAAATTGGGTATGTCCATAGATTCTTCAACAAAGTAATATCTGAATATGCCCAGTCCATTCTGGCACTGGAATATGACCCCCTTTTGTACACAACAACATGGCGTGGAACTGAATCGTTTTTTAAATGTAAATGTTTATATGACTGGAATATGACCACATTTTGTACACAACAACATGGCGTGGAACTGAATCGTTTTCGAAATGCAAATGTTTTATTATCTTGGTAAAAACCTGCCGCATAAGCGTTCATTTTAGGCTCAACAATGCATTTATGAATATCTGGGTACCTCAAAAATTCTGCCCACAGCCTTTGATCACATAAAACCAAAGATCGTAATATTATTTGGGTGTTTCACGGTAGAAGTAATTTAACCAGGATGCAAATCTTCCCCAGTTTTTATCTTTATATATTTTATGTCATTACTAGCAACCACCAGATTTTAATCTCATTTACTTCAAATGAAACTATCTAGTTAACATGAATTTGAGCCTAAACAAAGATTATTTCACCCTCTATTGAGAAATTAAAATTGGCAATTCTCAGCGAATCATGTCCTTTAGGACAAAGTTCTAGAGTCTGTTTCGAACAGCGCTTGCCTCATACTCTATTGCGGCATTTCTTCTTGTGTATATCCAGATGATTTCCTTCTGTCACCTAAGTATAGTTTCTTAATTCTTCCGTCATAACTTTAGATAATGTATAATATTTTGTAGAAGTGCGTCTTTGTTGTGCTTTTGGCTATGTACTTTTTTACCTTCATCAGTCTGGTTATGTAGGAATGCACCTCTTTAAATATCCAGAAATTCCAACTTAATTTAAATTTTCAATAATTGTATTTATTACACATCGTAGTCTTGTTCAGTTCAGCACTATTTTACATCTCTTTCTTGGTAACCAGTCAACACTTTGAGCCCTTTTTACTTCCTTATAGGAAACGAAAAAAAAAATATGATACTGGAAAAATTCCGGGTATCATATTTCAACGCGAATATCCATTTTGACCGATATAGAATGCAATTTAAAGATATTTTTGGGTGACATCTGTACGTAAGGACAGAATAAAGGAATCTTATTCTCGAGAAAAGTTATCAAACTTACTCAAAAGAAATGTTTTCCTTGACGTCTCTACGTACGTACTTAAGTATGTATCTATTTCGCATAACTCAAAAACGAGTGGCCTTAGAACATTAAACGTTAAAATTTTGCATACAGGACTGCTATAATATGTAGTTGTGCACCACCTATTTTGGTTGCAATCGGCCTCGTCCCAAAAGTATAATAACAAAATACGATAGCTGCTTTAAAAAATAATTGGAGACCTCAGAATTAATATTCTAGATTTGCTGATTTTTAAAATTCATCTGTTCTCTCAAATTCGAGATCTTTCTATGTAACGTTACTAGAAAAGGCAACTAAAACTAATATTAACTAATCACAGACTAGCTCTACTTATACATTAGATTTAGTTCAAATACCTGGCGAGTTAATTGCGTTATTCTTCCCTTCCCTAACTGCTGCTCTGTCAACATCGCGTCACTTTACCTTTACTTAACTGCCTTCATCATTTCCTGTTAAAAGCCAATGAGCGCTTTATATTTGCTTATCATATTTAATTATGATTGAATAAGTGTCTGCTCAAGTAATTTGGATATTTGGATATGAAAATAGACTGGTGATTTGTCGAAATTTAATTTTGTTGCCTTCATCTATATGCCTTAACTACAGCCATGACGGACATCGGAAGTAATTAAGAGTTGTAGCTTTCGACTATACTTCGAAATCATAAGTAAAATTGTTGGGAGTTCATTGGAGTATTCACCGTACTAAATAGTTATCCTGTGTCGACTTTTATTAACCTTTTACTTTATGTTTATGAATATATGTACGCAACTATATGTTTTAACGAATACTTACTTGGGTGGCTTAACGGAACTTCAGGGATATTTAAAACATCGAGTATAACGTCCTCTAGAGCTTAACCGCTAAACGTGTGGCCAGGCAATCTACGATAAATTTGTTTTTTGTTTCGTTTCATTTTCCTAACTCCAAGTATCTCAAATACGAACTGGACATCGTTATAGGTATCAAACGAAAAATTCTTTGCCTTTAAATATAAAGATTTCAGTCTCTCCGTTCGGCCAAGCATTTAAGCTTTAAGTTAGAAACCCGCCCATTGGCATCAGAAGACTTCTGAAACGAAATATGATAATTTATGTTTGAAATTGAAATGTGTTCTGTCTAAATCATTGTTTAAAATGTAAATTTTTGCCCTCTGAAATTTTAATTTAGAGTTCATACGACTTTAAAAAAGGAGTTTAGGTAATACGAACTATTCAAGGCAGGGAAATGGCAGAACATTGTTAACTGCAGAGCTCGTGAGTTCTGAAGGAAAAATTTATTTACTGTTTAGTAATAAAATTATATCGAAAAAAAGAGCATTTGCTTCGGTTTTTACACATTGAATATTTTCTGTTGATAGAAAACATCCCCAGAGCAGGTGTAAAATTGCTAAAGAAAGTTCTGAAGGATCTCGGTGGTTGGCCAATAATCAAAGGGGAAAAATGGAATTCTAGCTCCTTCGACTGGATTGATGCTGTCGGTAGAATAAGTCAATTAAAAGCCAATCTTTATTTCTTTGTGACCTTATCTGTCGTTGTGGATCCTAGAAACAATTCGTTTCAAATCATAAAGGTAAGTGTATGGATTAGAAATAGCGCCTTTCGTGTACACATGCCGAAGATTTCATTCTAAATTTATATTTTTACTAGAGAAAAAGGTAACTGTAAACTTTAAATATGCCTATTTTTAGAGATGCTTTGAAATGCTTCGACATAAAAGATAAGACATAATTAGGCATATTCAGAAGATTAGTAAGATTAAAAATAATTAAATAAAATTTGCTTTGTTATATTTGGAGCCAATTTCTTATAGAAAAAGCACCTACTCACAAATTTTATATATTACTAGCAGGGTAATGCTATGTATAGAAGCTTAAATCAATGCTAAATCAGGTTCTACTGTAATGACAGATTTATCGCTTCAGTCTGAATTAAGAAAGCAAAGTTATACAAATTAAAATAACCTTTTTATTAAACTTCTTAAATTAATAGAAGACATCACTTGTGCTGCAAAATATATAACCCTGCTATTAGGCGGTATTTAAAATGACTTAAGATGAAGTTAAATTAAAATAACGTAGTCTGAGACTACTCTCAAAATAATCTATTTATACTGGATGAAGTAATTAGAGGCGCGCATTTAACTTGGCTAGCAAAATGGCTTAGACCGAGTAAATTTTGGAATAGCTGGGGATAATACATAACTACAATGCAAGGCTGCGAAAAACGTTCACTTTAAAGCATTCAAACCCTCAGGTTAAATAATAATCTGCATTCTGGTGAGGACTACGGAAAGTCATAGCAAAGTTTCAAATTATAATGACTGGTTTATTAACATAAAATCCTACATGCTAAATAGGTACATATTTAAGTATGTTGAGTCAATTGCACAAGTACATCAAACTTCGCAGGAACGCATGTTATTTTTCTTCTCCTTTTTAACAGAGAATAATATTCTTGAGTGCCATAGGTAAACACCAGGGATCTCCTTAAATTATACCGTAAATAAATAGGTAATATGAACAAGATAACTTGAATCTTGACTTAAGAAAATATTTACCGCAGAAAATGTATATAAAACTGCTGCAACTGTGCATCAAGCTACATTTCCTTCTCAAGAGGTCAATCATGATTCAGCCTAATACTAAAAATATGTAACAATATAGAAACAGTCAAGAAGACTGGTTCTAAAGAAAGTTAGCCTAACCTACCTCAGTTAACATTACATATGAAAACAAAATCATAGAGGATAAAGGTTTCAAAAATAAACTGGTTAAAATTAAGAGATGTCATTTTTCCTAAGTTTTAATATCCATACCAAGTAGATAAGTATTAGCGATTTTATTTCAATGTCAATATCAATGTAAAGAAGCATATTCATAGTTTTTGAATATCTGGGTATCAATAAGTACTTCAGTGACTTAAAATCAATTAACTGAACAATTCTCATTTATAGTTGAGTCCCATTTAGCATCTGGAAAAAAAAGTCTGAGAAGCACATTGAAAGTTATTGTAAAGGTATACCCCAAATCAGAAAGAAAAAAAAAAAGTCCACTTTTACAGAGTCGAAGAAACTAGGTAAACACACAATATTTTTAAAGCTGGATAAAGATTTCAGACAAATAGTCTCTGAATAGACAGTGATTGATAGACTTGAAAAAAATTACAAATGATTTCCTCAGATTTACAATGTATGATTTTAATGATTATAATATAAAGTTATTCCAAATTAAAATTAGACCAGTGACAAAAATAACTGTGTGTGTGTGTGTATTTAATTATGGCAAAAGCACACTAGGGCTATCTGCCTGAGGGGAGGGATGCCTTTCGTGGAGGACTTTCTAAGGGAAACTGGCTCGTATACACGTTACACATGGGGAAAACCACGAAAACGCCCATGCAGCCAGCCCGTTCGCGGGATTCGAACCTCGGACCGAACTACCAGTGTTCAGCGTCTTTACCGCTCGGCCGCTGGTGGGCCAAAAATAACTGAAAAGTATGAAAAGTGGTAAATCACATATGAATGTAATCGATATAAATGTTTTTATCAAAATACTTTTAAATTAATTTTAAAAATAAAAAATAAAAGTCGCATTCATTATTGTTAAAATAGTTTTTCTACAAGTAGCACATATAATTGCAATTAAAATAAAATCTTTGTAGATTTTAAACAAATCTCTTAAGAATTTCTTACTCAAATATTTAAAGGAAAAGACATTGACTGCAATTCGTGGTTAAATCACATGTGTGCCGCATACAGTAATGCTATGCTCAATCCATTGGATGAGATATTGCGTCCTTCGTGGGATAACTGCGGATTTAAGGATTTTTATTCAAACGAGAAAGAAACGTCTTGTTAAAATATTCTTGTTTTCAGTATTTCCGAAGGTAAAAAGAAAAAACAATAATAATCTAACAAACATGAAATCTATTACATTACTTTGAATAAAAACTGTCTTGCATGCAAAACGGCTTTACATATTGTTACGAATTTGGTATTTAAAAAGCTAATGTTAGTTTAATTATAAATTAAATGGTTTTATTTCTCGCGCAGTGCAGCGCGTGACGAATATTAAAAGAAAGCTAAGCCGGAAAATTGAAAATACAAGAGCGCGTGCATTAAATAAATAAATATCTCTTTTTGATTTCGAGAAAGTACTGGAAAATTCTAGCGCGTGATTTTAAAATCATATAAAAGGAGGAAAACATCTCAGTTTGTAGTAGTTGCTTAGTTTTGTTGTTGTTTAGAAAACTGCTGTTGTTGATTGTAGCGAATTCGCGGATTAGCGTTCTTTAGCTGTTTTGAATTACGTTCTATTGGTACATTTGAGTAGTTAAAAGATAACTACTGTGAGATATTGTAATACTGCTGCATGATAATTTGAGAAAATTTAAGCATTTTTTTGTTGTGATAATAATAAATTTTTGTTCATTTTTCATCGGACTTGTGCATTCATTTCATAACGAACCCGTACGCACGCAACAATTTTTTGGTGTCAGAAGTGGGATTTGAATGCCAATAACAAAGAGCGATGGAAGAGCAATTAAGGCATTTAATATCTGCCTTTGCCTCATTTAAAGAGAAATGAAAATTGGGCCAGGAATCCGTTAAAGAAGAAATGAAATTGGGCCAGGAATCCGTTAAGGACGAAATGAAAGCCGTTCAAGCTGGTCAAGAAGAAATGAAAAGAGAAATTACCTGCATAATAGAAAATAAATTTGAAGCTATGGAAGGCAGAATTGACACAGTTGAAAATAAAGTTGGACAAATTGAAGAAAAGTTTCTTCTTCTGTAAAAGATCAAATTGAAGAAAGAGTTTCTTCGGTGAAAGAAGAAATAGAAGAAAGAGTTTCTTCTGTAAAAGAACATATAGAAGGAGAGTTTGTGCCGTCCAACACCAAATCGAACAACAAATTGATGATAGGGTTTCTGCCGTTGCCAAAGAAGTTGGATACTTTAAAGAAATTCGTAGCGACGGCAGGGAAACAATAGTGATGGGTTTTAAATTTTACCGATGCCTGCTCGTCCCCTCTGAAGCTATCTACATATGATGGGAAGACCTCCTGGCAGGTGTATAAGACACAATTTTCTATCGTTGCGGATGCGAATGGATGGGATTCCCAAGCTAAGGCCTGTCATCTCGCCGCTTCTCTGAGAGCAGACGCAGCGGATATCCTGCAGACGCTTCCCGAAAACAAAGGTTAGATTTCGAAGCTCTATCCGGCGCATTGGAGCTGCGCTTTGGCGAGAAATGTTTAAAAGACTACAGCAGGCTCCAATTAAAATCTCGTCAACAGAAGCCCACCGAAACACTTCAGGAGCTCGCCACGGATGTTGAAAGGCTGTCCCATCTCGCCTTTTCGGAGTGCCCGACAGAAACAAGGGAAATCCTGTCTCTGCAATATTTCATCGATGGCATCCGGGACCCTGAAATACAGAAAGCACTGCGAATGGCGGATGTTAAAGATTCGAAAATTTGTTAGAGATTTAGTGTACGCCATGAAATTTGAGGCAGCCCAGCAAGCCACTCGTCGAGACCGCCACCCAGTCAGAGCTGCTCAAGTCCAGGAGCCAGGGGATCAAATCACTGTTCGTCTAGACGATTTAACTAGACAACTCAATGCCTTGAGACGGAATATTAGTGACAAGAAGCCCACCTAAAGTGTTGGAACTGTGCAACCGAAGGGACACATACGACGGAACTGCAGAATACCCCAGGGTACGGAAGTTAAGACCGCGCCTATCAAGAAGGAGGGAAACTAATTAGTGGCCATGTCGCGGGGCGGAGGTTGGCAGATAATGAAAAGCCCCAGTTTAAAGCGCTTCAGATTTCTGCAGTGCGTGGCGGCAGTAATGGACTTTTCATAATAGGACATATTAATGGAGTTCCCTGCAATATGACGATAGATACAGGAGCCAACGTTACCATCATCCGAAAAGATTTGGCTCAACAACTGGGAAGCAAACTTATCTGGACGCCGCCCTGCGTTACCCTCCAGACTGTGTCCGGTGAGAAGATCGACATCGATGGAAAAGTAAATGTTAACATCACGTTTGGAAGTGCCGCTTACCATCACACGGCATATGTAGCAGAGATCACTGATTCTTGCATACTCGGATTGGACTTTCTAAGGAAATACAATTTTTCCTTGGACTTTAAAAATAACGAATTGCATTCTACATCTGAGGACATAGCGTTATTTGGAGTTAATGATGAAGAAGTTAAATCTGTCCCAAAATCATAGCACAAGACAATATCACAATACCGGCAAGAACAGAAATTTTACTTCCTGGATCCATAGCCGAAAATAGAAATTTCCGCTACGGCATCATAGAATATCCCAATAACTGTAATAGCCCAAAAGGAGTACTAGTAGCCTCAACACTCGTCGACCTATCCAGAACGGTTATCCCGGTGAGAGTCGCCAATGTAACTGAGAAGGCGAGAGTTATTAAGAAAGGTGAAGTGGTTGCAACATGTACTCCAGTAACCAGCGTTGAAAGAAAGAGTAACATCCAAGAATCCGTGTCCTCAGAGAGCATTACATCGGAGTTATTGCAGAATGCGCAAT